TAGCATATGGCGCTCAGAGATAATGCAACTCAGTATTCCTAGTCTAATACTTTATTCATACATATATTATACATCTATCTATCTCCCAACTTGAGGCATACGGAACAGTCCACGTCCTTTCATACCGACGATCTAGCTTAGACTCTCTCACATATCAACTCATAGCAACAAAACTCTCTACCCTAAAACGTCACTATCTTTCGTACCGCGTCACACATTCACTCGTTCAATATACGGCCGCACTATCAATCATGCGCACCAATACACTAGTCGAACATGCATCATAACAGTTAGGACATTCAAGTTTATTACGTATATAAATAAACATTTAAATAACAATCTAAAAACTGATTAAGTATAAAAATACTGTGTATACGACTAAGAGTTATAATTATTTTGTAGGCTAGTATTGAGACTGATCCACCTATGAATTATAGTGTTCTTTTTTTTATAATAACTCAGCTTTCACAAACTGTTTTATGCTGTGATATTTTAGCATTTATGTTGGAAATATATTTAATTCTGATTGTAGACATCTTTTAGTAAAAAGTTACTGTATTATAGTAAAATAGTTATTGATCTGTTTGAATTTGAAATTTACAATTAAATATGTTGACCAATCCATGTCTATATTAAGAGTGATTATTTCCCCTACTGTCGTTCGCTTGACTAAATAAAATGTCATTATGTCAAATTGTTTTTTTTTTTTTTTTTGCAATATTTAGAAAACAAAGTGTTGCGTTTATTGTTTTTGGTTGTGTTGTGTGTATATTTTGTTTGGTGTGATAAACTGTTGTTGACCTAGATTGTGTTTTTTTTTTCAGAGTAGCGAAGAAACAAAGGTTTCACTTTAACTTTTTGTCTGTGTTGGCATGTGAAGTTTTTAAATGCTGGTTTTTAGCGGAGTTGAATTGATGTGTTCGTTCATCTATTTATAGAACATAAAACATTACATCTTGATTTGTTAAAGGAAAATAAACATTTGGATTGTCAAAGGGGCCACTACTCTGTAAACCAAACTGGCCCACAGTAGAGATAAGCAAGGAACAATATACTATTATTAGTAGTTAACAACTGTAAATAAAAATTCCACATTCTCAGGACCTAATTATGTATGGTTGCCAAGGCAACGGCGGCCATCTTGGAAAAACACCTTTTTACAAGCTTTTATTACACTCACTTCCTCTGTCTGTCTAGATCGAAACGCCCGTGCGAAATTGCAGGCACTTCTAACTGACGTGGGTCAAGACATGAAGACAATGCATCGCGACATACAATTTGACTTAATTGGTCGCCTAATTAATTTTATAAATCTAATATATCAATAATGTGAACAAATAATGATGGTATTATTTCTGTTTATTTAACTAGAACCAATGTAGAGTGTACTAACGAAGTTTGTTTCCATTAAAATGCAAAAGAAACATTTGTTTTCAATTTTTATAATTTTTATAAAAAATGTATCATACAAAACAAGGCATACTAGTTGTGAAATTTCTTAAAAATAAAAATGTACACAATGCACATCATTCTCACATGTATAGTTACACCATAAAATGAATAATGAAAAAGTGCACCAAGTTTCAAGACATTATCTCAGCAAACAGCTAAAACATTAGAGTTACAATAAGCAAAAATCTTGAAAAAACTAGTTTTGAGAAAATTAACTTTTAAACATTGAAAGTTCCATTAAAAAAATCTATTAGCCGTATCAAGAAGAAACTTTTAGTATCAAAATTACAACATAAGCAGTTGAAAAAAAAATAAACCATTGCCAACTATAGTTTGCACATTCTTCTGAAGTTTTACCACTCATAATTTTATAGTGGTTAAGTGTGCACAATTCCGCAGTTTACTTGTAAAAAGTTAAACCTTTCTGATCAACTATTGACATGTGTAGTTGCTATTGTCTTTTTTCCAGACGTACACAAGCTTGATGTAGTATATTTTAGCATATTTGAACTATAGTTTAATACAAATTTGACAAATAATGTACTAATAATATTCTTTAACTTTAGCTTATGACTGACATTCACAATTCTGCTTGAAAAGGGTGAGCTCAATAACTTGACATCATAAGTTATTTATAGTAGATGGGCACTTTGCTGCTGTATTGCTCTTAAGTTCTAGTACAAACATCATTAATCTTGCTAATAACAACATAAGCAGCTTTAGCGTACATACTTAGTAGTATCGCAGCAAAACTTTGCGTAACAGTATGTAAAATGATGAGAGATTCAATGTTTTTTTTCACTTCCATTCACCAAGTAAACATCTGAAACCACTGTCGTTATAGATAACATGGCTCTAATATTGACATCATGATGTAGGTGTATCTAAAGTGAGCTTCTTGTAAACCATGAGGTCAAATTTACATTTCATGACATCACATTTCCTTGCGGAAAGCCCCAAGTTATATCCACAATGCTTGCACAGTCCTAATTGTGGCATATCTTCTGGATATGAAGATGTCAGCAAGCAAATAATGTAAGGGAGAGTTATATTTCTTGATTCTTGTTTGCGGTCAAAACCGACTTGGGTTCACTTTCAACCAGCTTTTTCGGCATTCACTGTAGGAATAGTTGGACTGTAAAATAAAAATAAAAGAACGACTTATTATTTAATTTTAAAAAGTTAATAATATACATAACTAGAATGACTAATATTAGCAGTAACTCGTCCTATTGTATAATTGTAACAACCTAATAATGTCATAGTCAACAAAATGGTATTTTGAAAAACTAATCATAATGAATTGGGCTTATATTATTATACTGACCTTAGGGGTCGTCCATAAATGACGTCACACTCGTAGGGGGGAGGGGGGGGGGGGGTCCGTAATTTTGTGACGGTGTGTGATGAGGGGGAAATGGTGGTTTCAGATGGTGCGACGTCACACTTTAGCATTATAAAAAAGCAATGTTAGAAAACGAATTTTAGACGTTATTTCGAGTTTTAGAAAACTGTTTTAATAAATTGTAATAGGAATTGAGTAAAATACTCTATTTTGACAGACTTCAGACAAGATTTTAGAAAAATATCGATGTTTAAAAAAAATTCAACTGCAATTTTGAGGGGGTGGGGGTTGTAGGCTGAGGTGTGACGTCATTTTAGGGTGGGGGGGTCTGCACTTTTGTGACGACGTGTGACGGAGGGGAGGTAAAAATCGTCAATTTATCCATGCTTATTTTTTGTTTTATATCTACACATATAGATACTGCACATTTATTTATAAACGTTCTAAGTAAATTTATTATATCATATTGCGATATATTTAGCTCTGTACAATGTCCTTTACCTGTTGATTGTCTGTGGCCATCTAAATGATTTGACTGACACTGAGATATTCTTGTAGTGTTTTCGGAAATGAACTGATCCGAAAGATGGAAAGAGTCCGCTCCTTTAGTTGTTGGACCAAAAAATAAATTACACGATTTGACCACACAAACAAATCAGAGGCGTAGCGACCCTTCCCGGCGCCCGGGGACAAACTTTCCATTTGGCGCCCTCCTCGGGAGCAAAATTTCGATTTGCACCCCTCTCAAACTTTCAATTTGCACCCCCCCCCCCCACCCTCAAACTGCAAAAATGCAGCTAATTTGACATTTTAATTTGTTTTTACAACCCATTTTGACGCCCCCTGAGGTCGGCGCCCGGGGACATATGTCCCCCTCTGCCCCCCCCCCCCATCGCTACGCCTCTGAACCAAATACAAAACTGTAGAGTTAAAAGTTTTTCTAGATTTTCCTACATCGCCATGATTTAGTTAGAATTAAGACTGTTGCGTGAAAGTCTTGTTGGGTATGTAGCCTTGACATATATAAGTTAGACTATTTAAAAAAAAATTACGTGTATAGTGGGTTACTTCCCTTAGAATAGGGGTTCCCAACCTCGTGCCCGCGGGCGCCATGGCGCCCGCCGAACGATTCGTATGTGCCCGCCTCTCACTATTCGACAGAGACAGAATTATTTTCATAAACATTACTGAAAGGTTGAATGGGATGGAAATCGAAAGTTTGAGGGGGGGGGGGGGGGGATGTGCAAATCGGAAGTTTGAGGGGTGGTGCAAATCGAAAGTTTGAGGGGGGAGGAGGGTGCAAATCGAAAGTTTCAGGGGGGTGCAAATCGAAAGTTTCAGGAGGGTGCAAATCGAAAGTTTTGTCCCCGGGTGACGGGAAGGGTCGCTACACCTCTGGAAGGAGTTTGTCGATTAAAAATAGGTGGTGCCCGCCACCCTACCGATATTTTAGAATGTGCTCTAGAGTAAAAAAAGGTTGGGAACCCCTGCCTTAGAATGTGGTTTAGAATCGATCAGTACTAGAGGCGTTATTTAGTAGAAAAATATGTAAAAATATTGGAATACCTGCGAAATTAGGCTACCTATAAATACACCTGAAAAATATTCTAGTTAGTCTAGGCACTCAGGTAAATTAAGCTCTCACATATAACTCTTAAAACAAACGAAATTAAATGACAATATTTTATTCCTTAAAAAAACATACAGTAAAAAAAAAATAGCTTGAGTTATACCGTAACATAAAATCAGCTTATTCAAAAAGCGCAAGGCTTCATTCAGCAGGAATTTAACTCCATTAAATTTGAAATGAAATGACTTGTTCTATTCTCTCTTCAATTGTACAGAATTTAACACACCTGTTCTATAGGACACAATAAATACTCTTCATTAATTTAGGTGTTTTATGCAGGGAGGAGAAGAATAGAAGAGTTCATTAATTTAGGTGTTTTATACAGGGAGGAGAAGAATAGAAGAGTTAATTAATTTAGGTGTTTTATACAGGGAAGAGAAGACTAGAAGAGCTCATTAATTTAGTTCAGGGGTCCAGCCACCTGTTCAATCTGTTAAATAAAATATCAAAATAATTTTTCCATCATATTTCCTGTACACAATACGCATTTTTCAGTAATTGTATTTTTTTTACTATCCAGAAATCATAATTTTCTTTTCATCTTTAAGGTGATCATGATCATTGGGACACAGTCGAAACGTTTTAGAACCACTGAAGTGGCGGTATGGGTTTTATTTCGTCTACGTATCCCTGGCAACGGATAGCGGGTTGTCAACGATGGCCTGGTGTATCATGATGAACAGCGGCGAGTAGGTCAGGAAGTCGAGCAGGTCCAGGGCCGGCAGGTGACCCAGCCTCTCTTTCACACTCGCCTCGTGGCTCTCGCTGACCCCGCCGGACCGCAGCTCTACGATCAGCTGCTCCAGCGGGATTGTCTTGGTCGTGGGGTCAACGCAAATCTCCCACAGTTTCTGCAATGAGGGTTAGGGCTTTAGAGTATTAGAAAACTAAGGTTAACAAAACAACAACAGCCCCGCGACATTATTGTATTCATTTGAATGAGATTCTCACCTTACAGAGAAATGTTTTTATCTCTAAGTGTTTGAAGTCTAACTCTTGGATCATCAGCTTCATCCACGAACTGCAAAACAACAAAGTCGATCTTTTATTGTCGCTCATAAATGACGTTTTTCACATAGGGTTAAGTAAAATGAAGAGGGAAGTATATATATACATACATACATACATTATATATATATATATATATATATATATATATATATATATATATATATATATATATATATATATATATATATATATATATATATATATATATATATAATCTTGCTTTAGACCCTTCCGCATCTAGCAAAAAATCCTGAGGTCGTCCATGTGTTTTCATAATGATATTTTTACATTAGTGCCTGTAATAAGGTAGTTTTTAACACGCTGTGCCAAACACACGTGTGAATGAGTACTCACTCTAGCGATGTGATCCGCTGAGACAGGGCGGCCAGCACTGAGAAGACCTTGAAGTCGACACCGTCACAGGTGTTGTACCCTGTCAGCTCCAGGACCTGAAACCAGTGGGGTGTGACATTAACACGATAACTGTTGCCTAGTTCCTTACACAGATATCTTAGCCTGATTTGATTTTTGTTCGAAGTGCATGGTTGTGCAGTAATAAAATTGACATCTTGCCTCAACAATTTTCATAACTACATAACATCTTTTAATTCTACACTCAGCTTAAGTCCAAATATATTTTATCACATTCCTTCACACATCTGATCTTATCTTCCCTAGCTCATGACCCCCCCCCCCCCCCCCCCAGGAAACAACCGACCGTACCCTGTAAAGAAACTCCTCCTCCTTGGAGTTGAGCTTTGTGTTGATGATCCTGAGGGCTGTAGCTGCCTCCCCCCGGGACAACCAGCCACACCGTCCCTGGTCCAGCTGGGGAAACAAGCAGGTAGAACTACGGGTAGGGCTTGACGCGCAGTATACAGACACTTGCGACATTCCACTATAGCCCTCAGACTACTGACTCACCACACTACCTCACACTCCCAACAATCCCAAACAACCAATTATCAACACTACCAACTCCCCCACACTACGGAGTTCACACATTATCAACCCCTAACACTACCAACTCCCTTAAACTACCAAATCCACACACTTTCAACTCTCCACATCAGCAAATATTCCATACTACTCCCCACACTACCAACTCCCCCACATTACCAACCCCCCACACTACGCAGTCCACACAATACCAATCCCTAACACTACCAACTCCCTTAAACTACCAAATCCACACACTTTCAACTCCCCACATCCGCAAATATCCCATACTATTCCCACACTACCAACTCCCCACACTACCAACTCCCCACACTACCAACTCTACATACCGTATCAAAGACATGCCTATACATCTCTCGACTATCGTTCTGGAAGATGCAGTACTTGTCTAGAAAATCGTCTAAAACCACACACAGCGCCACAATTAAAAAAAAAAATCAACATTTACAAAGTTAACACTTCATCTTAGAGCATTACAGTACTCTATTGATACCAATAAAGTAACTTCACTCAAATATATACATTAGTTGTTTTAGGATGTTAACGAAGAATAATTAGTCTTTTTACAAAGTGATATGAATAATTTAAAACTTTAATTATTTAATTTTTTTTTCGTATACAATAATGAGAATTTTTTTTCTTTGGAAATCGATTATAATTATGAGATAGTAAATAATCTAATGAGTTACAATTTTGTGCAGTTGTTTGAATAATTAAAAGCAGGGTTATAACATTAGATATAAAATATTTTGAATTCAAATTTCGTAATAAAAATCATTTTAAAATTGTTTTGTAAATTAAAAACAAATGTACCGGTATCAGAGAAATCGCATTGGTCAGGGTTCAAGTTGAAGACGAACTGACTTAGAACAAACTTTGACTTCTGTTTGTTGAACATGATGTGCTGTTTTCTCAGCCGCTGCTCGGCCAGACGGAGACGCTCCTGTTCCTGTAGGTATTCTGGGTCAATCTGACACAGGGGGGTGGGGGGTGGAGAGAGGTGAGGTGTTTAGTTTTCACATCTTCACTGAGATAACGATGTGAGAGAGTGTTTTCTTCGCAGAGAAGACAATGTGAAAGATGATGTATTTGTGGTCTAGACACATATGACAATGTCAATGAATTTTTGTTTTTAATCTTTACACATATGACAATATGAGTGATGAGAATTTTTTCATCTACAAATAGATGATTATGCCAGAGATGTTTTTTTCCTCATCTTCATATAGCAGGTGATGTAAAAATGACATGGATTTTTCCCATCTTCCTGGGGGTTGGTAATGTGACAGTATTTTCCCACATTTGTGACAGACGTGGTAATATTAGAGATGAAAGGCTTTATTCACGTCTTCATTGAGGTCTTGGGTAAAGATACGACGCCCATTTAGTTTTTGTTTTTATTAGTCGAACTCTTCGCCACTATTCAATATAAGACTATAAAAAAGCCTTCATAAATTGAAATTCATACAATATATTTTAATGCTGTTAGTTTTAAACACGTTGGCTTTTTATTTTAAAATTAAAATATTATTTTTTAAAATCAACACCACAAAAAGGTCTTGTGATGTGAATTCTCACCAACACTACAAGAAGGTCTTGTGATGAAAATTCTCACCAACACTACAAGAAGGTCTTGTGATGTGAATTCTCACCAACACTACAAGAAGGTCTTGTGATGAAAATTCTCACCAACACTACAAGAAGGTCTTGTGATGAAAATTCTCACCAACACTACAAGAAGGTCTTGTGATGAAAATTCTCACCAACACTACAAGAAGGTCTTGTGATGAAAATTCTCACCAACACTACAAGAAGGTCTTGTGATGAAAATTCTCACCAACACTACAAGAAGGTCTTGTGATGAAAATTCTCACCAACACCACAAAAAGGTCTTGTGATGAAAATTCTCAACATTAAGTTTGTGTCAACCAAGTCAGTCACGTGACCTAAATAGTGGGACAACTCTGAAGACAAGGGGAGGGGAGATAAATACCACTTACAATCTTTGGACGAGTTCTCTTCTTGGTGAAGTCAGCGCCCAACATCAGAGCATTTCTGACCCGCTGCTTTCTGCCTTGTGGGGTATCAAGATGTAGGCTGGGCAGGGGTGGGAACAGAGACTCCAAGTCGATATTGATTTCTGGAAATAGGGATACATGCTGGGTGTAAAGGGGGACTGTAGTTTACAGGTGGGTGGGTATTGTGGGTGACTGTAGTTTACAGGTGGGTGGATATTGTGGATGACTGTAGTTTACAGGTGGGTGAGTATTGTGGGTGACTGTAGTTTACAGGTGGGTGGGAATTTTGGGTGACTAGTTTACAGGTGGGTGGGAATTTTGGGTGACTAGTTTACAGGTGGGTGGGAATTTTGGGTGACTAGTTTACAGGTGGGTGGATATTGTGGGTGACTAGTTTACAGGTGGGTGGTTATTGTGAGTGACTCTAGTTTACAGGTGGGTGGTTATTGTGGGTGACTGTAGTTTACAGGTGGGTGGTTATTGTGGGTGACTGTAGTTTACAGGTGGGTGGTTATTGTGGGTGACTGTAGTTTACAGGTGGGTGGTTATTGTGGGTGACTGTAGTTTACAGGTGGGTGGGTATTGTGGGTGACTGTAGTTTACAGGTGGGTGGTTATTGTGGGTGACTGTAGTTTACAGGTGGGTGGTTATTGTGGGTGACTGTAGTTTACAGGTGGGTGGTTATTGTGGGTGACTGTAGTTTACAGGTGGGTGGTTATTGTGGGTGACTGTAGTTTACAGGTGGGTGGTTATTGTGGGTGACTGTAGTTTACAGGTGGGTGGTTATTGTGGGTGACTGTAGTTTACGGGTGGGTGGGAATTTTGGGTGACTAGTTTACAGGTGGGGGGGGGGTATTGGGGGTGACTGTAGTTTACAGGTGGGTGGGTATTGTGGGTGACCGTAGTTTACAGGTGGGTGGTTATTGTGGGTGACTGTAGTTTACGGGTGGGTGGGTATTGTGGGTGACTGTAGTTTACAGGTGGGTGGTTATTGTGGGTGACTGTAGTTTACGGGTGGGTGGGTATTGTGGGTGACTGTAGTTTACAGGTGGGTGGTTATTGTGGGTGACTGTAGTTTAAAGGTGGGTGGGTATTGTGGGTGACTGTAGTTTACAGGTGGGTGGGTATTGTGGGTGACTGTAGTTTACGGGTGGGTGGGTATTGTGGGTGACTGTAGTTTACAGGTGGGTGGATATTGTGGCTGACTGCAGTTTACGGGTGGGTGGGTATTGTGGGTGACTAGTTTACGGGTGGGTGGGTATTGTGGGTGACTAGTTTATAGGTGGGTGGATATTGTGGGTGACTGTAGTTTACAGGTGGGTGGGTATTGTGGGTGACTGTAGTTTACGGGTGGGTGGGTATTGTGAGTGACTGTAGTTTACAGGTGGGTGGTTATTGTGGGTGACTGTAGTTTACAGGTGGGTGGGTATTGTGGGTGACTGTAGTTTACAGGTGGGTGGTTATTGTGGGTGACTGTAGTTTACAGGTGGGTGGTTATTGTGGGTGACTGTAGTTTACGGGTGGGTGGGAATTTTGGGTGACTAGTTTACAGGTGGGGGGGGGGGTATTGGGGGTGACTGTAGTTTACAGGTGGGTGGGTATTGTGGGTGACCGTAGTTTACAGGTGGGTGGGTATTGGGATGACTGTAGTTTACAGGTGGGTGGGTATTGTGGGTGACTAGTTTACAGGTGTGTTAAAATTATTAGAGAAACGTATACACGTCTAACAGAGATGGCAGTCAACACAGGTCCATTACCTGCCTCGTCCCCACTGGTTGTAAAGTGATAAGACCCTCCAGAACTTGTCGAGTTTCCTGAAGATCTCGGCGTTGACGTGTTCCCGTCATAGTTGCTTAATGCCGAACTACGTTTTGTCCTGTCCTCTATTGCCGAATCACGTTTTGTCCTGTCCCCTATTGCCGAATCGAAGTCTCCTGCTTGGGATTCTGAATCAAGTTTCGTTGTTTCGGGTGTGTTTGAGTGAATGACGTCATGTCCTGCATCCGTTTTTAATGCTTTCTTGTGTCGGCGTCTTTTCTTGCAGTTGTTGCTATTTTTAGACTGCAATTTAAAAATAGAAGTAAACGCAAGTTTGAATAAAATCAATTTTTCATAAAGTAGTTCACAATCGTCACGTCACACATATCACAACCCACGTCATATATCTCACAACTTAGGTACATAAAGCAGAACACACAACTGAGACACACTTCACACAACACACCTGTCACACAGCTGGGACACACACCGGACAACACACCTCACACACACACACACACAACTGAGACTGACTTCAGACTTTAAACTGACACATTTTTACACACGCCTTAGACACATCTGGGAGACACACGTGAGACACACCGCTAAGACACACAACTCACCAGAGTCTGGCCATCGTGTATGTTGTCATCGGGCCCTGAGACGGGGAGAAACTCGGCCACAAACTCTGAAACAAATCTAGAGCTTTAGTCAACCTCAACCATCCTTCTCTATGAAACAATTAAAAATCTAGAGCTTTAGTCAACCTCAACCATCCTTCTCTATGAAACAATTAAAAATCTAGAGCTTTAGTTAACCTCAACCATCCTTCTCTATGAAACAATTAAAAATCTAGAGCTTTAGTTAACCTCAACCATCCTTCTCTATGAAACAATTAAAAATGTAGAGCTTTAGTCAACAGTAAATAAATAAACAGAACAATAATATTTTACATGTGTAAGACTTGTTTTGCTAATTACTACTAGAATGGATATGATATTTAGGAGAACAAAAAACAAACCTTTTTGAGAATTTTTCCTGGTCTTGACGTGTTTCCTGCCTTCCTGCGGCCCTTCCTTAGAGACGGACGTCTTGGACTGCACGTCGCCGGACGTCACTTTGTGTGCTCCTGGCTTTCCCCGTCCCTCTGCAGCCCGAGGGGCAGGTGCGTGTAAATCAGCGACGGTCACGCGTGAGTGGTGACCTAATTTGTTGTCTTTAATTATTGGCGGCAGTGACAGTTTCGTCTCGTGATGTCCGCGTCTTGGCGTGCTGGCTATTGATGACGTACTTCCGGAATCAAATGGCAACGCTTCAATAGTTTCCTCGTCTGAAGTTTAAAAAAAAAAAAAACAACGTTGGTAGTTTTATAGATACTAAAAATCCAATACGTATTTGCAAAGATAATTAGAGCTAGAAAATGAAGCTATAACATGCGGTCACAAAGTTCAGACCTTCGCAAGCTGAGGATGTTTCATTTTCTTCCAAATCAGAGTCGTTTTTATTTGGCTTTATGGCAGGCCTAGAGGTGTCTTCAGTCTGCCTCGATTTTTTTGTTTCCTTCAAGTCTGGGATGGAGCAGTAGAGTTTTATTATGTGTTAAACAGCTTCAGATACTCAAATTTGTAATCATTATATATTATATTGCAAATATATAAACATATCTCCATATATATATATATATATATATATATATATATATATATATATATATATATATATATATATATATATATATATATATATATATATATATATTACACATACTTAGAACGTTTATACATACATGTACAGTATCCATATGTATAGTTATAAAACAGGAAATAAGCATGGATATATATATATATATATATATATATATATATATATATATATATATATATATATATATGTGTGTGTGTGTATATTACACATACTTAGAACGTTTATACATACATGTACAGTATCCATATGTATAGTTATAAAACAGGAAATAAGCATGGATAGATTGATACAAATTATAAAAAAAAATGAGGTCCAAAATGCGAAGGTTTAAGTCACAGTAACAAAATTGTATTGATCAAATACGTTTTTGTGGACATACACAGTTTACCAAGAATGCCTACCAGTTAGAAAAACATTGTGTTAAATATATGATATTATTTTAGTAACACAATACAATAAAATAAATTTAAAATTACAACAGAGTCCGGCACTACACAATACATTCTGAACTGAGTTAACTTCAACAACAACGAAGCTGTGATAAACAGCTGGAGCTTGACTTGGCTTCAGTGAAAACTTGAATGGCTTAGAGAATAGTCACCATAAATATAAATAGTCCCCAAGGTTATATCGACAAGAGAAGAACTTCGATATTAAAAAAGCAATGCGAAAAAATACATGATAATAGGTTATGTGATTGTTAAATACACTTCAGCGATGCATGCTCCATTCAAACAAAACTTTAAAGATTATATCGATGTATGTTGGTTCATGAAAAGTCGAGGGGCTGACAGAATCATGCAGGTAAAACTGACATGCTGACGGGAAATTTATACTTGGAGTGTTCGGGTTGCCCTCCATGTTGTGATCCCATCTTCTGGTCAGACGAGTTGGTTGACAAATATCCGATCGTCTGGTACTGGCAGCAGGACCGTCGGGCACCGCGCCATTCTTCGGGGTCACTCGTTTATTAGTGGTCACTCTTTCACGTGTGGTCACTGTTTGTGTGTCCGGATGGCCATTTTTGATTACCACCTGAAGGTGTAGTTTGGCCGACGAGGTCATGTCTGCTCTGACCACGTGGTCTTTCTTGTTCACGCATGCGTGTTCCCTGTTTATGTTATCTGCTGAACATTATTTTATCTTCATCCCTGGATAGACAAAACTTTCCACTGGTCGACAAAGTTAATCTTTATGTATGTTTTAGTTAGTACCGTCCACATAGTGTTTGCAACTTTTAAGGGTTTATAATCAGATAAGCTAAATCAGAAAAAAAAAACTAGCAGACCAGGCAACAAGCTGAAGATAAAAGAAAAAGTCTGTCAGATAAAACAAAAAGTCTGACAAATAAAACAAAAAGTCTGTCAGATAAAGGAAAAAGTCTGTCAGATAAAATAAAAAGTCTGACAGATAAAACAAAAAGTCTGTCAGATAAAATAAAAAGTCTGACAGATAAAACAAAACGTCTGACAGATAAAATAAAAAGTCTGACAGATAAAACAAAAAGTCTGAAAGATAAAACAAAAAGTCTGACAGATAAAACAAAAAGTCTGACAGATAAAACGCAAGAACTGGTAGATGAAGTAGGAAAAAATACTAGTGAGTTAAATCGAAGTTAAACTCGGATAAAATAAAATAATGCAAGGGAAGCTATACATGAAGATGCTGTTTGATTACTGCAGCTACACAATTGTTATCGTCAGAGCATTTGTGACTATATTGATGACAAAACTAAAGATAGCACATAATAGGTGGTGGTGCTATGGAGTCTAGATGTATGAATGGATGAACACCTAGTATGATCTATATAGAGTCTAGAGATGGATGATGGATGGAATAGCTAATATGATCTATATGGATTCTAGATGGATGAATGGATGGACTATCTAGTTAGATCTATATAGAGTTAAGATGGATGAATGAAAATAACTTAAAGTTGTATTTGTAAGTAAGCGGTCAACCTAAGGTGCGGGAATTTGAAATGAATGTCATGTTAAGCAATGAATTATCTCCCATTTGGAAATGAAATTACCAAAATTTTATTCAAGGGAAATAACTTTCATTAGACTAGCTAAATTAACAAAGTGTAACTAAGACATGATTGAATAACACAATAAAAAGCTTTAAATTTCATTTCGTAATAATTGTAACAAATCTTTTATATTAGCTATGTAACCATGTCAAAAGAATATATTTTACTAATTGACTACTTAACTATAGGTTTTGTTTGAAAGTCTAAATACGCTAGCTTTATTATAACATACTCCAAGCCAATTTTGAGGACATACCTTCATTATCTCTGTATCTCTAAGCTCAAAAGAAAATTTTAGATCCCCTTAATAAAGGGACGCCTTTCAAAATAATCAAATACGGATAACCCGGTAACTGATTAAGACATTGCTATAATCATTGATTAAATATAATAAAATTATAATTTGAAAAAAAACAAAGTTTACGATTAGTTATAAACTCCAGCCTATATAATATTATATATTAATACTTTAAGAATGGTAATATAGATTCCTAAAAAAACTAAAGATTTTTCAACTAGAGAACGCCAACCTTTCTTTGTAGTGTGTTCCGTCCTGAATTAAAATAATCTAACTTACGACAAACTCGACTACTCGATAGACTTTACTACATTCACAACACACATCAAACTTCGATACCTAAACATAACTAGACTCGATGCTCCTGAACGACGACACCAACACGTTTAACTTCACCAAGCTCTACAAACGATACGCACAATCAACAACGATTTCACAGCCATCACACTTCGATACTTTAATACACAAAGGTTCGATACTCTGGGACCCAAGAACAACGATGCTTCATCACCTACATTCTCATTTCTCCACTAGACCTTGAACTACACAACAGCCAAATAAAAAATACGACACTTTAAAACTTCGATACTTTATACCTACGAAACCATATCAGTAACAGTCTTCCGCCGTTACTCCCAAATCTAAACGATTCATCAAAACTTACCAAACAAGTACACTACTTTGAACACCCCGTCATTACAAAACTCTATACACCAGAACAGATTACTAATTCATAGTCAGAGAAAACGAGACTTACATTACAAGCCCTATTAAAAACCAAAATTGTGTGTGTTTTGGAAAGCCCCGTCATGCGCTGGAGCGGTCACTAAATCAACATTAAAATTAGATAACAGTTTGAAATGTTCGAAATTTAAATTACGAACTTATTTAATCGTTTTTAACATCAATTATGTGACACCAAATTAAAAAGGCAAAGTGACTGTTAAAAAGGGGGGCCCCGACATTTCCAAATTAGGAAGGTGGGGTTGCATTTTCACTATCGCGAATAAATATAGGCCTATATAGACCTATATAGATCTTTTAGCGCCCCCTACGGATGGCGCCCTAGGCGACTGCCTAGTTCTCTTTATAGGTAGCGCCGACCCTGTCTATATGGAGTCTAGATGGATGGATGGATGGACCATCTAGTATGATCTATATGGAGTCTAAATGGATGAATGGATGAACCATTTACTATGATCTATAGAGTGTAGATGGATGAATGGATTGATCTATTATGATCTAGCCTGTACTCACTCCTTATAGGACGCCCATGAAACTCCACCCTGATCATAGTCTCACAATGTTGATCTGGTGTAGCCAGTCCAGAACTGACGACCTGTGCAGAATCATTTAGAGTACATAATGAGCTGCTCATCAGGGGTTTTATAATGAGTTAACCAATATCACCGCGACATTTACACACGGGTGTTGGTCTCGTTAGCCACGTCCCCACCCCCACCCACATGCTTCATCACTATCTAACACTGACAAAGAGATGAAATTACTACATCTTCCTACATTTTTTTATCCAGCCTTAAACCCCCCCCCCCCCAGGAAAAAGAAGAAAAAATACAATTAATGTTGTAATTATCTATTTAACCAGTATCCTGACCCCCCCCCCCCACACACACACACAAGTATCAAATGCCCCTAGCCGGAGGCTTCAATTCCCCCCCCCCCTCCATAGAAGACAAATGACAGAAAGAAACCCTGTTTCCTACCTGCACCCCACCTTCTCCATCTCCCTGTGCCTGACACCCTGAACTGTAGCATGACGTAACGATGGGCGTGGCTACTGGCTGCATCGTGATCTGTGGCACATCTGAAAGTCACGTGACAACAATCTATTATATATTATGTTGCTTTACTAATTGATGGGACGGAGTAGTCGAGCGGTAGCTAACCCGTAAGTCTCGAGTTCGAATCCGGGTTCAAGTCAGTAGACCGTCCCTGAGTCCACCCAACTCTGATGGGTACCTAACTCACGTTAGGGAGAGTAAAGGCGGCTGGGCATAGTGCTGACCACACTATCTCTTCATATGCCGAGGTCACAGAAACAGGTGAACTCTACTTCACTTGCCCCATAGACCGTCAGGTTTGAAAGGGAAACTTTACTTTACTTTACCAATTGGCTAGATAAAGTGTTCTGTATATTGGTAGCCTAATTACTTACATTTTGCTCTAATATTCTTCATTTAATTTAATATTATTATATTTGATTTATTAAAATTTTATGTAATCAAAACAATTTTGTAATTTAATTGAATTTAAAATACGGATTAATCGTGATTAATATGAGCAGTGTCCCAATCAGTCTTTTTTAAATGTATTGATATTTTAGGCAAAAAAAAAAAGTTTTTGAAAGATTAACAAATTCAAATCAGTCAACCAACGGTCGATCGTATTTAAACATTCAATCAGGCCTTACCCCACCACCCAGGGACAGGCATAAATAGTTGATTTAAAAATTTACGGAACAAATAAAACAAAAATCTATACAATTAATGAAGTTAAAAAAAACAACTAACGTCCATTTTTTTCGAGCAGTCTTGCAGGAGTGGAGAGATGCGTGTAGAGTCTTGTCAGCGAGCTGGCGGTGGGATTGTGGGTGGGGTGTAAGCGTGGGAGGTGGTGGGTGGGTCCACTTGGTCTGTCATGGCGACGTCCTGTGGGTCGGGCTACAGGAGCCTGAGGGTGAGAATGTTGGAAGTGGTGACTTCAGTGGTGGGAGAATGAAAGGTGGTGACACATATAGGTTGAGAAATGGTGACATTTCGTAGTGGGAGAATGTTAGTTGGTGACACATATAGGTTGTAAATGTTGGAATTGGTGATTTTTTTGGTGGTGGGAGGACGGTAGGTGGTGACACATACAGAGTGAGAACATTGGAAGTGGTGATACTCAGTGGTGGGAGAATGAAAGGTGGTGACACATATAGAGTTAGAACGTTGGAGGTGGTGACACTTGGTGGTAGGAGAAAGGTAGGTGTTAAGATATAGAGGGTGAGTACATAGGAAGTGGTGACACTTTAATGGTAGGAGGATGGTAGGTGGTGACACATAGATGGTATGAACGTTGGTAGTGGTGACACATAGATGGTAAGAACGTTGGTAGTGGTGACACATAGATGGTAAGAACGTTGGTAGTGGTGACACATAGATGGTGAGAACGTTGGCAGTGGTGACACAAATGGTGGAAACGTTGGTAGTGGTGACACATAGATGGTGAGAACGTTGGTAGTGGTGACACATAGATGGTGAGAACGTTGGTAGTGGTGACACAGAGATGGTGAGAACGTTGGTAGTGGTGACACATAGATGGTGAGAACGTTGGTAGTAGTGACACATAGATGGTGAGAACGTTGGTAGTGGTGACACATAGATGGTGAGAACGTTGACAGTGGTGACACAGATGGTGAGAACGTTGGTAGTGGTGACACAGAGATGGTGATATCGTTGGCAGTCGTGACAGTTGGTGAGAACGTTGACAGTGGTGACACTTGGTTGGAGGAAAAAAATGGAGAGAAAAAGAGTTTGAGAACATTTAAAGTGGTAACACCTCAGTGTTGAGAGAATGGTAGTTGGTGATACATCTAGTGTGAGAGAGTGGTAGTTGGTGATACATCTAGTGTGAGAGAGTGGTAGTTGGTGATACATCTAGTGTGAGAGAGTGGTAGTTGGTGATACATCTAGTGTGAGAGAGTGGTAGTTGGTGATACATCTAGTGTGAGAGAGTGGTAGTTGGTGATACATCTAGTGTGAGAGAGTGGTAGTTGGTGATACATCTAGTGTGAGAGAGTGGTAGTTGGTGATACATCTAGTGTGAGAGAGTGGTAGTTGGTGATACATCTAGTGTGAGAGAGTGGTAGTTGGTGATACATCTAGTGTGAGAGAGTGGTAGTTGGTGATACATCTAGTGTGAGAGAGTGGTAGTTGGTGATACATCTAGTGTGAGAGAGTGGTAGTTGGTGACACATCTAGTGTGAGAGAGTGGTAGTTGGTGATACATCTAGTGTGAGAGAGTGGTAGTTGGTGATACATCTAGTGTGAGAGAGTGGTAGTTGGTGATACATCTAGTGTGAGAGAGTGGTAGTTGGTGATACATCTAGTGTGAGAGAGTGGTAGTTGGTGATACATCTAGTGTGAGAAAATGGCAGGTGGTGTTATATACCGGGGAGAACATTGGAAGTGGTGACACTTGGTGGTGGAAGTATGAAAGGTGGTGACACATAGAGGTGAGAACATTGAAGGTGGTGACACTTCAGTGGTGTGAGAATGGCAGATGGTGATAGACGGGGTGTTTAAAAGTGGAAGCTAGTTACATCTCTCGGGTGAGAAAACATAATGCGGTGATACATAGAGGGACGAAAACTGTCAGGTGCTAACTTAACGGAGAGATCAAAATATTTTGGACTTAGAAATAAGACACATCTGATGTTTAAAGTATGCGTGATGAATGAGATCTATGATGACAGCTGAAGCCTTGATATCACCGTCTTAATAAAATTTGTGATACTAGACTTGTGAACATATTGTGTAATGTTAGAACAAGACTTGTGAACATATTGTGTAATGTTAGAACAAGACTTGTGAACATATTGTGTAATGTTAGAACAAGACTTGTCAACATATTGTGTAATGTTAGAACAAGACTTGTCAACATATTGTGTAATGTTAGAACAAGACTTGTCAACATATTGTGTAATGTTAGAACAAGACTTGTCAACATATTGTGTAATGTTAGAACAAGACTTGTCAACATATTGTGTAATGTTAGAACAAGACTTGTCAACATATTGTGTAATGCTAGAAAAAGACTTGTGAACATATTGTGTAATGCTAGAACAAGACTTGTGAACATATTGTGTAATGCTAGAACAAGACTTGTCAACATATTGTGTAATGCTAGAACAAGACTTGTGAACATATTGTGTAATGTTAGAACAAGACTTGTCAACATATTGTGTAATGTTAGAACAAGACTTGTCAACATATTGTGTAATGCTAGAACAAGACTTGTCAACATATTGTGTAATGCTAGAACAAGACTTGTCAACATATTGTGTAATGTTAGAACAAGACTTGTCAACATATTGTGTAATGCTAGAACAAGACTTGTGAACATATTGTGTAATGCTAGAACAAGACTTGTGAACATATTGTGTAATGCTAGAACAAGACTTGTCAACATATTGTGTAATGCTAGAACAAGACTTGTGAACATATTGTGTAATGTTAGAACAAGACTTGTCAACATATTGTGTAATGTTAGAACAAGACTTGTCAACATATTGTGTAATGCTAGAACAAGACTTGTCAACATATTGTGTAATGCTAGAACAAGACTTGTCAACATATTGTGTAATGTTAGAACAAGACTTGTGAACATATTGTGTAATGTTAGAACAAGACTTGTGAACATATTGTGTAATGTTAGAACAAGACTTGTCAACATATTGTGTAATACTAGAACAAGACTTGTCAACATATTGTGTAATGTTAGAACAAGACTTGTCAACATATTGTGTAATGTTAGAACAAGACTTGTCAACATATTGTGTAATGTTAGAACAAGACTTGTCAACATATTGTGTAATGTTAGAACAAGACTTGTCAACATATTGTGTAATGTTAGAACAAGACTTGTCAACATATTGTGTAATGTTAGAACAAGACTTGTCAACATATTGTGTAATGTTAGAACAAGACTTGTCAACATATTGTGTAATGCTAGAACAAGACTTGTGAACATATTGTGTAATGCTAGAACAAGACTTGTGAACATATTGTGTAATGCTAGAACAAGACTTGTCAACATATTGTGTAATGCTAGAACAAGACTTGTGAACATATTGTGTAATGTTAGAACAAGACTTGTCAACATATTGTGTAATGCTAGAACAAGACTTGTCAACATATTGTGTAATGTTAGAACAAGACTTGTGAACATATTGTGTAATGTTAGAACAAGACTTGTGAACATATTGTGTAATGTTAGAACAAGACTTGTCAACATATTGTGTAATACTAGAACAAGACTTGTCAACATATTGTGTAATGCTAGAACAAGACTTGTCAAAATTCAACGATGATACGATGTGACAAAATGTGTGAAATTGTATCATAATAAGTTGGAATTTCAAATGTTTAGGATGAAATTAACAGATTTCAAAATTGAAAATTCAAAGACCTACCCGTTTCTCATTTATAACTTTGTGTGGTTGCAAAACAGGAGCGTTAATTGAAAAGTATTCATTGTCTCCTCCTGATTTCTGAAAAAAAAAACAACCACTTAATTCTTCAAAAATCTTTTTATTATATTGCATTCACAAAATATATTAAACAGGTGATATAAAAAACGTGTTGCATTCACTGGCTATCCACACTAATCCAGAATGGATATCTTAAATAACTACGTGATTGGTGATTGTAAAACACCACCTAAATGTTTTGCACTCAGTGGCTATACCTACATTATCCACACTAACGCAGAATGGATATTTTAAGTAACCACGTGACCGGTACGGTAAAATCCGATGTTTAGTCCTATCGTCTTGTGTTGTGTTCCCTAGTGAAATCCGACCCATGTCCCTACAATTTAGCACCTTCACTGAGCTAGCCATGTCCCAACACTTTGATAGTCTGAATCCTGCTGTGAATGGATCAGCAAAGAATCCACTAGCGAGCATTCTTCTGCCTGCCACTATGTTATCCACTATGGATGTGTCCTTATGTCGCGATCGGTCCACTGGATAAGGTCGGCCATACAAAGGCCCCCTCGCTGCCAAATTGTGTTGGTAAAACTTGCGATGTTTTTGAAAATCATATTTGGCTTTTCTGGTGTTCGTCAAACCGTGAAAAATCTGGCAGCTTTGAAGAGTTTGGTTCAGGTACATTTTGGTACACACAATCAACGCCGTTGTTTTAGGATTAGCTAGGTCTACGGGTCTTGATTGGCGCGAAGTGAAACGTTTAGAACTGGATAGTAAGATCGGAAGAAATTCGTGGGCGTCGATGTCATAACCACCTTCAACGGCGAAATAAAATAAACACATATTTAAAATGTTGTTTTGCTAGAGTAGATATACACACGATAAAATTATTTTGAAAAAAAAATCCTTTATAAAATTGGAATAATTTTATTAGAATTAATTTGTATAAAGGGAAATGTTAAAAATAAGTAACCCTCTGTACAGGAAGAAGCTTTGATACGCCTATGTTAAACTCATTGGACTCCCCCCCCCCCCCCCCCCGCCTATTATATTCTTTAGAACCCATTTAGCAACGGGCTAGTAATTAGGCCCGGGTTTACTTAGCGTGTTAACGAAATATCACTGTCCCTCTAATCATAAGCACTGATCTATCCAATCCCCATTGTTGACACACAATATCTCCCACTCCACCGACCGTTATTTTCGATTACTTTCGGCGTTCTGACTAATTATAGATTGCAAGTTATTTTTTTTTTTTGCCTGACTAGTCGCGTCATGTTGGGCTTGTAATTTTCTGAAGCCGTGTTTGCGGTCAGTTGAACGGCTGTATGTTGAGTAACACATTTTCTGAAGCCCTGTTTGCGGTCAGTTGAACAGCTGTATGTTGAGTAACAAAATTAGGCGTTGCTTTTCATTCGCTTGGTGGGATAATTAATACAAATAGTTTGATTTTTTTTTCGTTCGGTTAACATTTTTGGTGGTGAGATTTCGCGAGATATTTCGAATAATTTATAGCTACACAGCACACATTCACACAATTAGCAACTAAATTGAGGCTTTATTTATTTGATGTAGAACCATACTGCTATAACGGGAAGTGCCAATTCAATTAGGGTTAGATTAAGTATTTGATCTAGTTTTTGGATCTGTGTTAGGCATAGTTAGTCTGTGTGCTAACTTTATTGGTGGTACAGGCATCACAAATATGTTGGCGGGCGTTCGGTGAAGCGAGACGATTCAACTTTTTACCGTGAGGCTGCTCTCTTAGGCGGACTAGAGTTGTGGGGAGTTAAGTGAGTTCACTCAGCTATGACGGGTACCTGGCTCTATTCCATTCACATCTGAAGGGTACCTGATTCTAGTCCACTCAGCTCTGATGGGTACCTGATTCTATTCCACTTAGCTCTGATGGGTAACAGATTCTATTCCATTCAACTGTGACTGGTACCTGATTCTATTCAACTTAGCCCCGAAGGGTACCTGATTCTATTCTATTTAGCTCTGAAGGGTACCTGATTCTATTCTATTTAGCTCTGAAGGGTACCTGATTCTATTCCACTTAGCTCTGATGGGTACCTGATTCTATTCCACTTAGCTCTGAAGGGTACCTGATTCTATTCCACTCAGCTCTGAAAGGTACCTGATTCTATTCCATTCACATCTGATGGGTATCTGATTCCATTCACTCAGCTCTAATGGGTACCTGGCTCTATTTGGGTAAATAAACGTGCCTTTGCTCAACATTGACCATTAATATACCAAGCTCAAGCAAACAGTCAACTTCTACTTTACATCCCCATCGAACGTCCTGATCTAAAAGTCTACACAACACTTACATAAACAGACGCTGTTTAAAAATATGACACATTATTTTCTCAATTTGTCATTAAAATCACGTAATTAATAATTAATTCTAGGTTTAAAACAATTAACTCACGTGCTGGCTAGGTGCGAGCCACACACCCAGTGCATCGACCCAGACCAACTTCGTGTTTTTCATCTGAAGATATTTCTGTAGGTTCATATCCTGGAAGGGGGGAGGACTCGTTTGGTCTGAGCGTCGACCACAGTTTGTATGTGTCCATCCCTCACACGACTTGAGAAGTAAGGGTTTGGCTGGCTGTGGATGAAGGATATTTAAAAAAAAATGTTAGAATCTAATTTTTGAAATTTAATTATTAGAGGAAGAAAAACATGACTGAAGGAGGTGTAACAATACATGTTTTTTTTAAAATTTGGGAAAAAAAATAATAATTTGAAATTTGAATCTCGGAGTAATTGGCTGTAACTTGGTCTTCACATGTGGTCATTGATTTCTTGTTGATTGAAACAATGGCAGGGTGGGAGAGGGGTGGAGGACATAATCATGTTTATGGGAGGGGTGGGGGTTGGACAAAATGTTAAGTCACTGACGAGGTGAGTTAGGACTGTAGGACACAATAATATTGGTGGGGGCAGTGTGTTTTGTGGGGGTGTGAAGGAAAGGTGTGGGGGAAGGTGTGTGGTGGGAAGGTGTGTGGTGTGTGTGAGTGGTGGGAAGGTGTGGGGGTGTATGTGTGTGGTGGGAAGGTGAGGTGTGTCTGTGTGTGGTGGGAAGGTGTGGGGTGTATGTGTGTGGTGGGAAGGTGAGGTGTGTCTGTGTGTGTGGTGGTGGTGTACCACTCGCTAAAACAAATTTTATGACCATTGACTTGTTTACCCTGTTAAATACACCGCTAATATTGATAGATTTCACAAGGAATGTTGATAGACTTCACAAGGAATGTTGATAGACTTCCTAATTGAGCCGACTCTCGGTACTTTATCTAGACATTTTAAAAAACCGACACTTTTGACATTTTCAAAAGTCGGCACTGTGTCTAGATTTTTTCAAAAGCTGTCAATTTATCTCAACATTTTCAAAAACCGGTACTTTATCTAGACATTTTCAAAAACCGCCAATTTATACATTTTCAAAAACCGGCACTTTTTACATTTTCCAAAGGTCGGCATTTTGTCTCAACATTCTCAAAAGCCGGAACTTTGTCTAGACATTTTCAAAAAACCGGCACTTTTTACATTTTCCAAAGGTCGGCATTTTGTCTCAACATTCTCAAAAGCCGGTACTTTGTTTAGACATTTTCAAAAGCCGGTACTTTATCTCAACATTTTTAAAATCCAATACTTTTTCCAACTAATAAAAAAAAATCACACAAAAAATAATTGACTTTGTCTAATTTTATTCCAAATTATAAAAAAAAAACAGAAAAAAATCATTGACTTTGTCAAACTTTTTCCATATAATAAAAAAAAAAAAAATAAAAAAAAAATCATGGACTTTGTCTGACTTTAAAGCTCCAGGACACCCCGTGGAGACACCAGGCGGTTTAACATGGCAGATCAGTCACCAGAAGAGGGATTTAGCTGATCGATGGGCCCAGATTGGCATCGATATTGATTTCTCTGTAGCAATCAGAGAGCCGGAAATGCAGTTCGGAAGTCGGGTGTCAGGAAGAACTTGCTTCGCATAGAAATTTATAGGTTAAGTAGTCGCCTAGACTAGAGACACCCTGGTATATAGAAATTTATAGGTTAAGTAGTCGCCTAGATAGGCACCCTGGTATATAGAAATTTATAGGTTAGGTAGTCACTTAGAGAGACACACTGGTATATAGAAATTTAAAGGTTAGGTAGTCGCCTAGATAGGCACCCTGGTATATAGAAATTTATAGGTTAGGTAGTCGCCTAGATAGACACACTGGTATATAGAAATTTATAGGTTAGGTAGTCGCCTAGATAGACACACTGGTATATAGAAATTTATAGGTTAGGTAGTCGCCTAGATAGGCACCCTGGTATATAGAAATTTATAGGTTAGGTAGTCGCCTAGATAGACACACTGGTATATAGAAATTTATAGGTTAGGTAGTCGCCTAGATAGGCACCCTGGTATATAGAAATTTATAGGTTAGGTAGTCGCCTAGATAGACACACTGGTATATAGAAATTTATAGGTTAGGTAGTCGCCTAGATAGGCACCCTGGTATATAGAAATTTATAGGTTAGGTAGTCGCCTAGATAGGCACCCTGGTATATAGAAATTTAAAGGTTAAGTAGTCGCCTAGGCTGGGGACACACTGGTATATAGAAATGTATAGGTTAGGTAGTCGGCTAGAGAGACACACTGATATATAGAAATTTATAGGTTAGGCAGTCGCCTATAGATTGCCTAGTGTATAGAAATGTATAGTTGTGTAGGGTCTACATATGCCACTGCATATTTTTTTTTTAAATGATTATTTGTATACGGGCTAGATGTGCCCTCGCTTATTCAATACAAAAGTTATAGCCGAGTTGCTCGTTTTAGATTAAAAAAAAATTACCTGTAGGTTTGGAGCATTGTTCTAGATTTAAAAAAGGAAATGAATTGGTCATCTGTGGACTAAAGACCTTATTTTATATTCTATATAGCAATAAACAATCGCTTGCAAGATATGGACTCCCTGACATTTGGAACCACATGATGTTCTTGTATAGGACCTATAATGTTTACATAGCAGAACTAAATTTAACTGCGTTTTACATAAACATATTATTGGCAGAATTCGTTAAGTGGGCTGTTCATCTTTCTATTACCGAGCATTTTCGTTTTGTTTCGTATTGATTTCCATTTCATGTGTTGATGGAATGTCTAGGTTTACCCGTGTTTTAATTGAATGTTTGTGTCTGGCCCTGACTTCGATTATTGAGTGAAACATTTTCTGACGTTGTTTGTTGCCTGTTTATGGTTTTTGATTTCCTCATTGTTACCCGACAATAAAACGTTCCTGCTGTGAGGCGGGTGATGTCACGATTGTTACTAATGCCGTGTGTGGGTGTGTGGGTGGGTGGGTGGGTGTGATGGCCCCTGTGGGAAATTATTGCTTGAATGTGAAATAATCGTTGAGTCAGAAATATTGTTAAAATTTGGACTTGGGGCCAATATGTCTGACTGTGAATAGGGCCAACATTTATGTCTGTCAATTATGGCCCTCATGTCTGTGAATAGGGCCAACATTTATGTCTGTCAATTATGGCCCTCATGTGTGTGAAATAGGGCCAACATGTCTGACTATAAAATAGGGAGAACTTATCTGTATGTGAAATAGGGAGAACTTATCTCTATGTGAAATAGGGAGAACTTATCTCTATGTGAAATAGGGAGAACTTATCTTTATTTGAAATAGGGAGAACTTATCTGTATTTGAAATAGGGAGAACTTATCTGTATTTGAAAAAGAGCTACCATATCGGTATATGACATAAGATCAACATATAGGTATTTAAGTTTAATTTTGAAATAAATTAACGTGCTTAGTTTGCCATTGTTATTCTATTCGTGATGCATAGCATTTATAACTCGAAGGCCATATTTGATATAAGTAAATTTGTGAATTTTAAAATAGCTAAAATAGATACAATAGATCTCTGAGTTTTAATGTGTTACAGATTAGTTAAAAAACCTTTTAATTATATGGTGTTTTATGTAAGTGTAGGCCCATTAAAATGTAATGATACAGTATGTGTTTTAAAGTGTTTCCTCATATAGCTTAGGGCATTTCCTCCAGACTTATCTTTGAATTTTGTGACTTTAAACACAGAAACTAGGTATCACATGACATGTCTACGTAGTTCTACGTTAGGTATGAGTCCAATTTTTGGTTGACTAACGCTTCTTTTAATCTAAGAGAAGGTAGGATTTAGTATTTTGGCTGGAGGGTCGGCGTGGTCTAGTTGGTAAAGCTCATGATTGCTAAACCGAAAAGTCTCGAGTTCGAGCCCTCGGCACAAAGATCAAACCCCCTCCAAGAAGAAAAGCAGGCTGACATTGGAGTCAAGGGCATAACCAGTTGGCACGTATAGTTAATGGTGTTAGAAGGGAATCTTAGAGGACTAGATTATCTTAAGTTTCAATTGGTCGTCAGTAAAAAATGAGGATTTTGAATTTCCACAAATCCGATTTTAAATATGTGGTTAATGATGTTTTTAAATATAAACTCTTATAAACCGGGAGTGATCTCCCCTAAACTTTCTCGAATATTCTTATATGAAACAACAGGGTTTGTTTCTATTCTATTTTTAAAAGTTTAAGTAATTAAAAATGGATTTAAAATATTATCTATATCCCGAGTTGCCATTCCCGTAGTGTTATATAAGAATATTCGAGAAAGTTTAGGGGAGATCACTCCCGGTTTATTATATATGTATCCGCTATTCAAGTAACATCGACCACCGAAAGAGAAAAAAGAGAGCTTCATCGGTTTCTAAAACCCCCAGAAGACACACATGAAGGCTATGCTACCAGCTCTTATCTGTCCTTATAATTACTGAGGTATCTGTCAGAGATTGATAGATAAACAGACGACCTCAGATATAGGGTTGTACACCAGTCCTCAGATGAGCGAACACGTGATCTACTCTCTACCACAACTTCTTACAATGTTGTTTATGTTGCATGTACAATTTTAAATGTTAACACATGTGTTGATGACGACCAGCAGTGAATGCTTGAGTTAGGTTGGATATAATCACAACACCTTGACGTACAAGACACATCACCTACCACAACATCTTGACGTATTAGAAACACCACCTACCAGAACACCTGACGTATTAGAAACACCACCTACCAGAACACCTGACGTATTAGAAACACCACCTACCAGAACACCTGACGTATTAGAAACACCACCTACCAGAACACCTTGACGTACAAGAAACACCACCTACCACAACACCTGACGTATAAGACACACCACCTACCAGAACACCTTGACGTACAAGAAACACCACCTACCACAACACCTGACGTATAAGACACACCACCTACCACAACACCTGACGTATAAGAAACACCACCTACCACAACACCTTGACGTACAAGAAACATCACCTACCACAACACCTTGACGTACAAGAAACACCACCTACCACAACACCTTGACTGAGCTGCCTGATGTACTGACGCTTGGCTTCTTCCAGACACCTCTGACACCCCAGATCCAAGACCGGCACCCTGACGTCACGTCCGTTGATCCACGGCTTCGGTTGGTCGGGTGTGAGTGACGTCACTACCGGTCTGGGCCTGAACTTGAGCGAGCTCTCTATCAGCGATATGTCCATGGCCCCTAGCAGCGATATGTCCATGGCCTCTAGTAGCCCTCGGTATGGCGTCTACAACTTCGCCTGCACCGAACACGGCTCAACAGCGCAGAGCCATATAAAAAAACCAAATCTAAATGATATAATATATGTGGATTCATAGTTTATACTATAACCAATGTATACGATTTTAAATCCGTTACAAAACTGTGCTAGGCTTAATAATATTTTAAGACCTCAAGACTATTAGAGTTTTAAATTAATCTAATTAATTAGATATCTTTTTTTGTTCTCACCAACATACATTAAAACAATTATTTTACATAAAAATTTCTAACCAAGGCTATAAGACTACGAAAACAGCAAACATCGAACAACTATAAAACAACGCAAAATAATAATGTTTTAGAGTCTCTAAAGAGAAATATAAAGAGTAATGACAATTTTGACGTTGATAACCAAATGACGCTGACTATGTAAGAGGCTACTAATGTCTTTATTAATGCTGCTCATTAATTTTTTTTCTGTCTTTAGTTAATTATTTCATTTTCGACCTCTTTAATTTTTTTACTGTCATAATCATCATAAATTGTTTCAACCCAAATCGTCTTTGATTAATTGTTATATTTTTTTTTTCATTTTTATCACTGTAGGCCTACTTTTGACTCAGATTTGTGTGTGTGGCAAAATGTTAAGTGGTACCCAAGGAGGCTTGGCATAGTGCTTACCACACTAACCCCTTCATATGCCGGGGTCTTTGAAACAGAAAAACTCTACTTCGTCTACCCTGTCTTGGGGACGAAAAAAGAAGAAGATGATGATCAGGCATTTTTTCGCCCTCTCCCCACCCCTACCGAACGAAATGTAATTTATAAACAAAATATATACTTCAATAAGTGTCAGCCTTCCAGAATATAAGTACCCCCCCCCCTTCGAAAGTTTCAAGTGCCCGGTTAAAATCTGTCTGAAAGAAACACTGTCTGGAAAATATCTAGAACAAATCTGGAACGAATTTAGAAAGTATCTGGAGAACCAAGACTCTACACTGAACAAACCTAGAACCTAATCAGAACAAAACCCACAATTTTTCTGAAAAAAAAAATCAGAACTTAACTGGAACAACCCCAAAATTTTTCTAAAAAAAAAACCAACAATAACAAAAACAGAACTTAATGGAACAAACCCAGAAACCCAGAACAAATCCAGACCTAGCCACTTTGGTGCGGCACATCGGCTCATTACCCGGGCAGACAACAGCGCCACTTGAAAGCTGTTGTTCCAACAATCACTAGCGACCACGCGCCGCACATTAAACTTCACGGTTGAGTGACTTAAAAACCTTTTCTAATTATCGATGAAGTGCGCGGGTCATTATTTTTACCCGCTGGACTACACAATTAGGCCATTATTCTGCTCGATAGACCGAAAAATAAATGTGTTTACATGGAGATTGCTTACGTCACTGGTAAAGAACCGGATGTAAATTTCCACATTATTACCCATACAAAATATAATTTAAAAAAAAAAACCTTTACCTTTTTTCAGAAACTAAGTAGCGTGTACTAAAACAAATTGTAGCCATTCATTTAGGTACATTGATGACACGGAGTGCCTAATGCACGTCATTTTAAGCAGAGCTAAGGATGGTAGTATGTCACTAAAGATATTCAAGGTATTATTACAGCTTGTGAGAAATCGCACCAATTCATTATTCTATAACTTGTCGCTAGCGTGTTATAGAACTGTAAGTGACAGGCTTTGGCTCTTTTCTCACACTCTGAAAGACTCTGATACAATGACTACCAGGGGTGGACTGGCCCGCCGGTATAACAGGGAAAAATCTCGGTACCCCCAAGAAAAAAATTTCGATGAGCCCCAAGTAACAAATCCCAGTCGGCCTTCAGAAAAAAAAAATCTCGGTAAACCTACAGTAAAGTGCAGTAGTAATCTTGTTAATGTTTTGATTTTTAAAAAAATGATCTGTTTGTATTTCTCCGTTTTACTATTTTCATTCATTCATATCAAGGCGTAAAATTCAGGTTTTTATGTGGACAAAAAATTCACAATGAAAATTTCCATCTCAATTAGGGGCACCTTTAAAATGTACCGGTCTGTTACACACAACCAGTCCACCCCTGGTAACTACTCGCATTCTTTATAATGTAGGATACTTCTAATCCCGTCTTTACAACTAGCTTATCCGGCTATGATACATTGTTCTTATAGCCCAGTTTTTTGTCAACTTTTTAGTCAACACCGTCAAGAATTTTACGGGACTTAACGAAGTGGAATAATATACGCAGTCCACCTACAGATTAAGCTTAAGCCAGAGTCTATAGAGTACCTGACGCCTGGCCATGTAACCTTGTACATTCACTGGCCTTGGGTTGACCAGTCCTACATGTTTCTAGGTTTAGTATCTATGTGCGTATTTTTAGTTTTGTTTGATTTAATCTGATAGTCTAAATAGGTAGGCGATAAGGGGGTGGTTTTTTAAAATGTATTTGGCGCTCCCACAAACATCAGAACGAGGCTAAACTCCTACTGTAAACAGCACCCCCACCCTACACACACCTACTCAAATCCATCGTGTTCTTTTTTTAACCCACCTGTAGAAATTATGAACAAGATACCATAGAATCATAAACACATCCTGAACTAGACATTAGCGAGAAACACATCATGAACTAGACATTAGCGAGAAACACATCATGAACTAGACGTTAGCCAGCGTTCAGGGAGATGATCTACCGTTCACACGTCCAAATCCAAATCCAACACTTTGTTTAATCAGCTAACGTTAAATTTAGCTACCCACCAGTCTCTCATATAAAGCCTACACTCTCTACACAAGTTCTACACTATCTATACTAGTCCTATACTATATATTAACTTACGTTAACTTTGACTATCCACCAGTCTCTCATAAGTCCTACACAACCTATACAAGTCCTACACTATGTATACAATTCCTACACTATTTATTAACTTACCTTAACTATGACAACCCACCAGTCTTTTATCATCTCCACGTTGAACGATTGATTTTAACATCATAATTTACATGTGATTTGTAGGTTCGACGTCATGTTTTGTATTCCAATCACGCCAGCTCGTTACCAACATTGATTTCTGAACAACTCCATCTTCAATGACGTATCGCAGAAAATTACACAAAGGCACATAATTCACAAGGGGACGCAACTCACAATGACAACACACAATGGGCTTCAAACAACGGCTACAAGAATTTCTGCAAGAAAAAAATTGCACCCTCGGGCGACTGGCTGGGAAATGGCTTGAACAAAGCGACGGGAGATCGAACATAAATCATGTATCGATTGATTAGCCAAGTGATTGGATGACTTCTTACAATGGAATGCCATCATCTTCAGACTGGTGGGAGGCAGTGATAGACAGCACACCTTTTTATGGCAGTGACCACCTTTGTATGGCAGTGACAACCTTTGGATGTCAGTTACAGACAGACACATCTTTGTATGGCAGTTACAGACACACCTTTGTATGTCAGTAGCAGACAGCTAATTTTGATTTCCTTTAAGTCCCTTATAAACTGTGCTATCTTTGGTCTATATGGTTGAGGACATGATATGAAAGAACAATGAATGCTGAAGCCGATATATTTAAAACTAAGCCAAACATAAATCAAACAAAAACCAGATCCAAACCAAAATCAGACCAAAGCATAACAAATAAATTGATGAAAAAATACTTTTATTCAACATGGTAATATATCACAATGCCAAAAATAGTTTAAGTGTTGTTTTAAATAAGGCTCCTGGTTAATGACTGTTGATGTTGACACCACATCTTGGGACAATAAGTTTTAAAGGTAAATGTTACTGTAGTTTGTTCCAAACATTCGACTGGAGTTAGCCCTGTCAGATGATCTTATAAAATTAATTTGTATCATAAGGACTTTTACAGTATAACGAAATTAATTTTGATTATCTCTAGAATTTCAGGCCAACGGTCAATTTCTTACATCATGTTATATAATATTTGAGTTGACTGAAGAAAGTGCTTATCTGATTCCCTACACAATTTAAAAATTATCCCATCATATCCCCATACTGTCTCATCATATCCCCATACTGTCCCATCATATCCCCATACTGTCCAGCACATCATAGCCCCATACTGTCCCATCATATACCCATACTGTCCCATCATATCCCCATACTGTCCCATCATAACCCCCTACTGTCCCATCATAGCCCCATACTGTCCCATCATAGCCCCATACTGTCCCATCATATCCCCATACTGTCCAGCACATCATAGCCCCATACTGTCCCATCATATCCCCATACTGTCCAGCACATCATAGCCCCATACTGTCCCATCATATCCCCATACTGTCCCATCATAGCCCCATACTGTCCCATCATATCCCCATACTGTCCCATCATAGCCCCATACTGTCCCATCATAGCCCCATACTGTCCCATCATAGCCCCATACTGTCCAGTTCTCGAGACATCTGACAGGCGGCACAGGGTGTGCAACAAGTCGTCATCAGGCAGTCAGAACATATGGAACCCTGCAACATATACAAGTGATACTACAGCATATGGGACACTGACACACAAACAAGGCAGACTACAACACATGGGACATGCAACATATACAAGGGAAATTACAACATATGGAACATGCAAGATGTACAAGTGATACTACAACATATGGAACCCTGCAACACATACAAGTGATACTACAACATATAGAACATGCAACATATACAAAGGAGACTACAAGAGAACATATGGAATCCTGCAACATATACAAGGGAGATTACAACATATGGGACACTGCAACATATACAAGGGAGACTAGAGCATATGAGACTCTACAACATAATTATACAAGGAAGACTTCAACATATGGGACACTGCAACATATACAAGGGAGACTTCAACATATGGGACACTGAAACTCATACAAGGGAGACTAGAGCATATGAGACTCTACAACATAATTATACAAGGAAGACTTCAACATATGGGACACTGCAACATATACAAGGGAGACTTCAACATATGGGACACTGAAACTCATACAAGGGAGACTAGAGCATATGAGACTCTACAACATAGTTATACAAGGAAGACTTCAACATATGGGACACTGCAACATATACAAGGGAGACTTCAACATATGGGACACTGAAACTCATACAAGGGAGACTAGAGCATATGAGACTCTACAACATAATTATACAAGGAAGACTACAACATATGGGACACTGCAACACATACAAGGGAGACTACACAATAAAATACATAATTTTATTTTCCCGCGTTACTTCCCTTTCCCATTCGAACACTTAACTATCATGTTCTAGAAAACTTATATAAAATCCCAATTACTTTGATGCCTCCCATGGTGCGTAGCTTAGTTCTGAGTGCGGTGAATCCTCCAGGTATGACCCAGGTAACGAAGGCACATTCGTCCAGTCTGTTAGAGATCCGGCATAAGAGGAGGGGGAGGCAGGAAATTCCACACATACCTGAGGAATAGATGGCTAAAGGTCTGGAGAAAGAAACAAATAATCTAAACAGATGAAAATCTCTTTTGGTTAATGTACTCTTATTGAACTAACTCGATGTTTGATAGCAAAGAGACGAAATTCTGAAGAGCTAATGGTCTAAACAGACCAGTGTCTTAAAGGCGATTGGTGAAATAAGTTTTCTAGCAATTATCTTAGACCTCATGTAGAATACAGACACCAAACTAAATACTCAGCCTGTCATATCCTATCAACAAATAGAAACCTCAGACAGCATGTCAGACTCTAGCACCAAACCAATCTCTACCCAGACCTGTCAGAATTCAGGGGCTACAACTCACAGCTTGTGATGTCGTTCAAGCAGGAGCAGATCCCAGAGTTCCAGTCTCTCGTCTGCAGCTTGTCCTTGCTGACGAGTACCAGGGTGTTGCCCGTCCCTCCCCCCGCCCCCACCATGACTGTGTTGTTTATCATGTTCATGTTGTTCATGGGGATGGCCTGGGGTTGGATGACGTAAGGTACCCCTGGCTGGGGTTGTTGGGGTTGTGGTTGGACCACGTAAGGCATGCCCTGCTGAGGTGGTTGTTGGTGGTACTGTAGAGGTCAATAGAAAGTTTTATAAGGGCAGTGTTGATAGCAGCATTTTAACAAAAACAATACACTAGTTTTATAAGGGCAGTATTGTTTATAACATTCTAACAAGGACAACACAATAGTTTTATAAGGGCAGTATTGTTTATAACATTCTAACAAGGACAACACAATAGTTTTATAAGGGCAGTATTGTTTATAACATTCTAACAAGGACAACACAATAGTTTTATAAGGGCAGTATCTATCCGATGGGGGTGGGGGGGGGGGTAGGGGAAAGGAGGGGGTGGGGGTTATCGTCCTTAACGAGATACTGATAGTGTTTTAAAAAGCAAATATATTCAGTGGCAGCATGGGTACAGTAGAATTCACAAATTATGAATTACTGAAAAGTAGAAAATAAAACAACTAAATAGCGGCGTATGATACGCTGCGGGTCGGCTCGTTGTTTATAACATTCTAACAACGACGACACAATAGTTTTAAAGGCAGTATTGGCTCTAGCTGCTAGGTAACTCCTCGGGTACATTTGTTAGGAGTAAAGTTGGATGTGGTAAGAGATTCTGAAGTTTTTTGTTGTATGTATAAAGTTCGAAATTGTAAGAGAAACTGAAGTTTTGTGTTGTTGTATGTGTAAAGTTTGAAATTGTAAGAGACAGTGGCGTAGCCAGGATCGTCTCAAAGGGGGGGGGGGGGGTTCCAATTTTTACCCGGGGACAAACTTTCGATTTGCACCCCCCCTCAAACTTTCGATTTGCACCCCCCCCCTTCAAACTTTCGATTTGCACCCCCCCCCCCCCTCAAACTTTCGATTTGCACCCCCCCCCCCTCAAACTTTCGATTTGCACCCCCCCCCTCAAACTTTCGATTTGCACCCCCCCCCCCCCTTCAAACTTTCGATTTGCACCCCCCCCCCCTCATACTTTTTATATATACCGAGGGGTCTATGGGGGGGGTTATGACCCCCCCCCCCTAACCCCCCCCCTGCCTACGCCACTGGTAAGAGATACTGAAGTGTTGTGTTATTATATGTGTAAAGTTTGAAATTATAAGAGATACTGAAGTTTTGTGTTGTTATATGTGTAAAGTTGGAAGTGGTAAAAGATACTGAAGTTTTGTGTTGTTGTATGTGTAAAGTTGGAAGTGGTAAAAGATACTGAAGTTTTGTGTTGTTGTATGTGTAAAGTTTGAAATTGTAAGAGATACTGAAGTTTTGGGTTGTTATATTAAATTATGTGTAAAGTTTGAAATTATAAGAGATACTGAAGTTTTGTAATGTTGTATGTGTAAAGTTTGAAATTGTAAGAGATACTAAAGTTTTGTGTTGTTGTATGTGTAAAGTTTGAAATTGTAAGAGATACTGAAGTTTTGTGTTGTTATATGTGTAAAGTTTGAAATTGTAAGAGATACTGAAGTTTTGTGTTGTTGTATGTGTAAAGTTTGAAATTGTAAGAGATACTGAAGTTTTGGGTTGTTGTATGTGTAAAGTTTGAAATTGTAAGAGATACTGAAGTTTTGTGTTGTTATATGTGTAAAGTTTGAAATTGTAAGAGATACTGAAGTTTTGTGTTGTTGTATGTGTAAAGTTTGAAATTATAAGAGATACTGAAGTTTTGTAATGTTGTATGTGTAAAGTTTGAAATTGTAAGAGATACTGAAGTTTTGTGTTGTTATATGTGTAAAGTTGGAAGTGGTAAGGGATAATAACATTAACAGCAAGTTTTAGGTGTATTTTAGGTCGATAAAAAGTAAACAGAAATAGTTTAATAAGGGGCATATTGGCAGTTCATATATAGCTGATAGTGAACTCTTAGTAAACATTTGATACATTGTTTTGGGAAACTCAATAAAACTAAATGAAGTAATCGTGTAAACACTAAGTACAATCTGTTATCAACAAAAACCGGATTAAAAACTAACTAACCATTGTATAAAATAGTACAGAGTCTGGTAGGTATTCAATACCCTCGGAAAATGTCCAAATCCAAAGATCCAGTGTCCTCAGTAAATGTCGTGTCTCTTCTGCGGAACACACCTGACCTGGTACCATGTGTGTTACCGGCCCGACACACCTCCATGATTTCCTACTCACAGATCAGAGTCAGTCAACCATACCCGTCACCAGTCATACAATCAAACACTTCATCATTTGGCTATTTCAAACAACAACAACATCCTTAAGACATTTTCAACAGACTTTCTTAAGTTCACCCTATCACTTGTTAACCCTAACACAGCTATGTAAACACTAAGAAAATATTTGATGCCTTCTGTTTATTGTGTTGGATTGTGTATAAGAATACAATACAGGCACAACAACACGGTATTCAGATCTGCTAAACACAAAGGACACAGTGACAATTTGACGTCAATGTAACTTGATTACAAGGACACCAATGTGTAAACGTTCACTTTCGTCTTTCTGTGTTTGGGTCGGCGTGGTCGAGTCGGTAAAGCTCATGGTTGCGAAACCGAAAAGTTCGAACCCTCGGGCAGATGAGGCTCGTTAGCTGATGACAGCCACTCTTCTAGGAGAGACAACTCCAAAATCATACAACTACTGTCCTGTAGTTTGTTCTTGGTTGGACAAAGGCTATGGAAGCAAATCATAAAAGAAAAGCAGGCTGAAATCGGAGTCAATGGCCCCAATGGCTCATAACCAGTTGGCACGTATACTTAATTGTGTTGGAGGGGATGTCTTCCAATAATAAATTAAGAACGAACAAGATCTTCCTGAACCACACCTCAACATTATAAAATAAAGCCATATCCCACCGTAATTATTACACGTATAATACCACAATTTTATTCCACGTACACACAAAATAGATGTACCAAATCCCACCATTAAAATAGCATACCCATCATTTAATGATTACCTTTTTAGTACCACCATTACATTATAACACAGCAAAATACCCTTGCCTTATAATACTACATCGCACCTTTACTATTACCTGCATAATATCACCATTATTTATAAACACCACATCCCGAAATTACCTACACACACAACATCCCACTATTACATACCCACACCAGATCCCACTATTACCTACACACACCACATCCCACTATTACCTACACACCACATCCCTCTATTACCTACACACAACTCATCCCACTATTACCTACACACATCACATCCCAATATTACCTAAACACCACATCCCACTACTTCATACACACACAACATCCCACTATTACCTACACACAACTCATCCCACTATTACCTACACACACCACATCCCACTATTACCTACACACAACTCATCCCACTATTACCTACGCACACCACATCCCACTATTACCTACACACACCACATCCCACTATTACCTACACACCACATCCCACTATTACCTACACACCAGATCCCACTATTACCTACACACACCACATCCCACTATTACCTACACACCACATCCCTCTAGAACCTACACACCACATCCCACTATTACCTACACACAACTCATCCCACTATTACCTACACACACCACATCCCACTATTACCTACACACACCACATCCCACTATTACCTACACACACAATATCCCACTATTACCTACACACCCCACATCCCACTATTACGTACACACACCACATAGTACTACTACCTACCCACACCACACCCCACTACTACCTACCCACACCACATCCCACTATTACACACACACCACATCCCACTATTACCTACACACACCACATCCCACTATTACCTACACACCACATCCCACTATTACCTACACACCATATCCCACTATTACCTACACACCACATCCCACTATTACCTACACACCACATCCCACTATTACCTACACACACCACATCCCACTACTACCTACACACCACATCCCACTATTACCTACACACCACATCCCACTATTACCTACACACCACATCCCACTATTACCTACACACCACATCCCACTATTACCTACACACACCACGTCCCACTAATACACACACCACATCCCACTATTACCTACACACACCACATCCCACTATTACCTACACACACCACACTACCACTTTCCCCCCCACACGCACACCACCACACTACCACTTCCTTCCATCCCCCACACACACCACACTTCCACTACCCACACACCACACTACCACTTCCCACACACCACACTACCACTACCTGTGTACCGTAACCTCGCACTTTATAACCAACACGTGCAATCATCCCTCTTTCATCGATCTGTGATCACGTGTTTCCCGGATGTGTACTCTCTCATCATGACATGATTGGCAGCCAAAGGAGGAGGGGGCGTTGTAGAAAATAATCCCGGTATCATTTTCCTCAACTTTGCTTCATTGCCGATGTGAAGGGACACAACTCACCTTAAAGTTCTATCTCATCAAGGGAAACAACTCACGTAAAGTTGGCCCTTTAGGATCACACTGGATTTCGGACTTCAAGAAACATAGATTTTATCTTCCAACCTAAATATGGTAAAATGTTATTCTTTATAAATATATTATTTTGCCCGCAGTCATAAAGCATGCTCAATGAATAAAATATTTATAACTGCATATTAGTCTAAACGTATTACGTTTCAATTAACTGTAGTTTAATAATACGTATCGAGTTTCATAATGTTAATGATAATTAAAACTTCAATAACGTCACAAATTTTAATAGTATTGTGTGAAAAAAAAAAAAAATAGTATTGTGTGAACAATCAGCCCACCACTCACGCCGAGAAAAAAAAATCCCTTGAATCATCATTTAATTACACATTTGCCTTTTCAGTTTCAGGTTGGTACTTTTATTATTATTTTTTCTTTATATTTAGACGTTTTGTATTAGATCTATGTATAAGTAAACCATCTTTAAATGAATGAAAGCAGGCTACAAGTAAGAAAGAAATATTACTATTGTAAATCTGTATCAGTCCTCACAAGCCGATGATGAAAACTGTAATACTTAAGCGAACACACAACTGACGCTATAAATTACGTGTCTGAGGCGAAAAAAAAAAAAGAATCCACTAAAATAGCCCGGCCCGTCATTGGTGTGGAGACTAGCATTAAATATATGAACAGTGAAGCTTTTGTTAAAGTTTATGGAGATAAGCCTGTGTGGTTTCATTACAGGAGAAATCATAAAGGTCGAATTCCCCCAAGAACCAGAAAGAATTGCATTAGAAATGGTCACATAGACACAGCAAGTCCCTGTCCTATTTGTCGAGATGAATATCTCAAAAACTCTAAACTGCTGGAGCAGTTCATATCACCTTACACAGGAGAAATTTTGGATTCCCGGCAAATTGGCTTGTGCCAAAAACAGCATAAAACATTGTTGGTTGAAATATTTAAGGCTTGGGATGGAGGTGAAGTTGAAGCACCTATTCCCTTCCGTACATATAACTATGATGATTACAAGAGCTGAAACATTTATTACAAGTTTATTTACAATTAAATCTGTGTACTATAAATCAAATAATTAATAAAGTATAAAACAAAGCTAAAAAAAAAATTAATAGTAGTGTGTGATCTATTAATCATAAGCAATATATCGTCTATATCTGCTAGTGCTGACACGATTTATTAACACGGGCCACAGAAATTATTTTGGCTTATTTGATACAAAAAAAAAAAAAAAAAAACGACTATTATAACTTTGGCTTCGTAAGAGTGATTCCCATCTAATGACAGCTACAATGATCATATGCGCAACTTCTCCCAATCAAATATCATGCTCCGATTTTATTGATTATCTCCCTTTTAATTACCATTTTGAAAAAAAATAATTGAATGTTATTCTTAGCCGTGTGTAAACATTAATTACGGCAGAGTGAATGAGTTATTGAACTCTTAACAGAGAAGTTCGTCTGTATTTGTACACATTTTAAAGAAACTAGATCTATTTTTTGTGTACTTGATCTATCTTGTGGGAACTAGATCTATCTTATGGGTACTAGATCTATTTTGTGTGTACATGATCTATTTTTTGTGTACTTGATCTATTTTTTGAGTACTTGATCTATCTTGTGGGAACTAGTTCTATCTTATGGGTACTAGATCTATTTTGTGTGTACTTGATCTATTTTGTGTGTACTTGATCTATTTTTTGTGTACTAGATCTATCTTGTGTGTACTAGATCTATCTTGTGTGTGCTTAGATTTATCTTGTGTGTACTAGATCTATCTTGTGTGTACTAGATCTATCTTGTGTGTACTAGATCTATCTTGTGTGTTCAAAGCTTTGTTCAAATCCCTCATGATGAGATAAAAAAGCCACGATTTAGCCTCCACAGTTTGTTTATATTTTTGTGTTTGTGTAAGGGAATAATGTAAGCGGGCGTGTAAGAGGATGGCAGGATCTGATGCCGACAGAGCACGAGAGGCTAAAGGTTAATGGCTGACATTTGAGTGACATTTGTCTGAATTGTTACATTTTTACCTACGTGTGTGTTGATGTTATTGATTATGTGTGTGTGTGTGTGTGCGTGTGTGTGTGTTGATGTTAGATGTGTGCGTCTAAGCATGTGTAAGTAGACCTATGTGACTGTCGGTTTGTGTGTGCGTGTGTTGATGTGTGCGTCCAAGCATATGTAAAAGAAAACTTATGTGACTGTCGGTTTGTGTGTGTGTGTGTGTGTGTTTGCTAATACTTAATGTGCACATCTAATCTTATGTAAGTAGGCTACGTGTGTAACTGCGAGTGCATATCAGAGCGTGTGAGTATGGATGTTAAACATGCCTGCCTCGTGTGTATGTGTGTATCTCCGTGTACGTGTGTCTACAGATGTGCTACTCAGCCCCCTTGAGTGTGTCACACGACACGACTGTAGGTGGTCACTCCGTGATTTAGGTTTGCTGTCGACTTGAACTGCCTCGCTCTGAGTTTCACCAACCTTGGCTATTTATAGCTATACGCGCGCTGGGGAGTGGGGAAAAAACAACAACAACAGCGAATCAGCTGGGTTCATCCGTCATCCAACTAAACAAAGACTACCCGATCGATTAAGGTCGTCTGACGGTCACGTGATCGGGACTTGATCCTTATCTTTGTGCTCAACATGTTTTGTGATTCCCACTGACACTGTGCTACTGCGCATGCGCGAAACAGCAGCGGAAAACCCGAATTCGCATGCGGAAAACAGGTTTCTGAGTTTTTAGTTATAATTTTTTTTTCTTACGAAAATATAAACAACGACTCAACGGCTCTTCTACAACCACACGAAATCTCAAATCCAAGTGGCTTTCTTCCGTCTACATCTTTCGTCATACGGGGTCACAGCATTGTGCTCAGTGTTTCTTCCAGACTTTTTTCTCCGGGGGAGGGGGTGAGTGGGGGTTGGACTAATGTTTCCGGGGGGGGGGGGGGGGGGCATGGGTAAAAGTATATATATATATTTTTAGCGCAATTTCCATACGGACAATTGAGATTATTAACTCGTCATTTCTGGATGGATGTGCGCAGCTTTAAGTCGTATCTCCTCCTTAACGAAGCAATATCGAGGACTAGTTCCAAAAGCAAATATGTTAAGCGATTTCCGAGGATGATTGTGGGCCAAAAAATGCCCGAAATTCCTTCCTGGATTTGCCGGAAAAGCAAAAAAACCTCGAAAAATGCAGTTTTTGGCACACATATCTCGGCAACCAGACCACTTAGCGACTTGAAACATTTACCAATCGATTCCTGCCATAATTTAGAACAATATTGCCGAAGAAAATTTTCAAAAATATTCTTTCGTTCGGTCACAAAAAATTAATTAAGGAAATTGCGCTTAAATTGTCACTAGACTTTTTATTAACTTGTTTTTATATCAATTCAATTTCGTTCGGGGAGGGGGGGGGGGGGCGAAGAGATGCCTGGAAAAAAACTCTGTTAATCCGTTTTGAATTTATTTTAAATACATTCTTCAGATAATTAGTGGAAAAACGTTGATTAAAACGAACTTGGGCTTGACAAATTAATATTCTAGATAACAATAGTAGTAATAAATGATAACAAATGTAGAATAAAACTTTATTTTAAAAATGGTAATCATTTTGCGTTTAACGAAAGTATGGCAAGACTTTAAATGTTATAATATGATATACCTACATGTATTTCTATACGCTTCTGATTACATCTTGAAAAGTTTTTTAAATAGAGGCCTAGAAAAAAAAGTAGGTTATCTAAGTTAAAGGAACGAAACCAAATCAACAATTGTTATGGGTCGGAGTTATCGCTACATTGAAGTTTGATGTAATGATATTGAGGATATTTTTAGATCTATTGGTTTAAGGCGGGAAGGGTTATTATTCCTCCGAAACTATTTTTAAGCACCCCGGTTACAGAGAGAAATTTCAGTTTCTTAGAAAGCAACACGGAGAAATATTCTTTCGTTCGGTCACAAAAAATTAATTAAGGAAATTGCGCTTAAATTGTCACTAGACTTTTTATTAACTTGTTTTTATATCAATTCAATTTCGTTCGGGGAGGGGGGGGGGGGCGAAGAGATGCCTGGAAAAAAACTCTGTTAATCCGTTTTGAATTTATTTTAAATACATTCTTCAGATAATTAGTGGAAAAACGTTGATTAAAACGAACTTGGGCTTGACAAATTAATATTCTAGATAACAATAGTAGTAATAAATGATAACAAATGTAGAATAAAACTTTATTTTAAAAATGGTAATCATTTTGCGTTTAACGAAAGTATGGCAAGACTTTAAATGTTATAATATGATATACCTACATGTATTTCTATACGCTTCTGATTACATCTTGAAAAGTTTTTTAAATAGAGGCCTAGAAAAAAAAGTAGGTTATCTAAGTTAAAGGAACGAAACCAAATCAACAATTGTTATGGGTCGGAGTTATCGCTACATTGAAGTTTGATGTAATGATATTGAGGATATTTTTAGATCTATTGGTTTAAGGCGGGAAGGGTTATTATTCCTCCGAAACTATTTTTAAGCACCCCGGTTACAGAGAGAAATTTCAGTTTCTTAGAAAGCAACACGGAGAAAAAAAACGAATTGAAATATTTTAGCTAGGCCTAATTTAAAAATTGAACAGAATAGTTTAACTCTGGAGCTTTACTTGACGTCATGTTCTAGATTCACAATAATGCAATACAGTGTGAATCACATGGACCAGAGTGATATGGCTAATTACACTAAAGCTACGACTACTTGTATATGCATATATGCATATATATATATATATATATATATATATATATATATATATATATATATATATATATATATATATATATATACATATATATATATATATATATATATATATATATATATATATATATATATATATATATGTGTGTGTGTGTGTGTATGAAATAACGTTCTTCAGAATTGCGTGGGCTTAGATTCCACGCATCAGAGAATCTAATCTAAAATACCTCCCCACAACCCAATTCATCAGAAATATCTCCCCAGATCCATCTCATCTAAAATGTCACTGATCAGTGATTTTAATCGTTTATCGATCGGCACCTGGGCGAGCAAGATGGCTGCTAAAGGCTAGCAGGGCATGAGCTGGTTAAGACGGAGCTAGCCAACGGAAGACTTTAATACGGCACAGGGTGGGGGTGGGGGGTGGGTGGGGGGTGTAAATGAATTTTCTCCGTACAACAAAATTAAATGAAAATATGTTTGGGTGAGATGATAAGAGATATAAAATACCTCACCCCTCTAACTTCTGCATTCCCACACTATCGATTCCACGCTGCTGATGTAATTACTAAATGTATCAGAATTGAATTATTTAAAATATTTTTTTTCAAATTGCGCTGAAAAAGTAATTTAAATTGATTTTTTTTTTGTTACAATATAACTATATTTTGAAAGTTTTTTTTATAAAGAGACTTACTTATCCCGTTTCTTTGACTATATTCATGCTCTATTTTTTGCACTGACAAAATGATTCCTAGACAAATTGTTTTTCCCTAGTAAATATTTTTATTTGTTCCCATTCGCATGATGACGCAATGTACGACGTCATTCATATCTTGATCGCTGTCGGCACAACTTCCGTAGCCTAAAAATAGAACAAAGGGATGTAAAAATTTTTGATAAAAAGCTGTATAACAATAAACTACTATATTACCAGCTAGTAAAAGTAACATAACCACAGTTGTACCTGTGCTGTTGCTGTTGTTTTTGTCTGTTAGCCTGTGTGGATTAGTTAGTTGTGTAATGTACATGGTCGAACTCAGGATTAGTAGAGTAGGTCCCTGTCCAGTGCAAAGGATTAACCAACTCTGGAACCTATAGCTTCTATGGATTAGCCAACTAGGGGGCCTAACCCAAGGCCTCATTGGAATCAAGAGGTTGCGGCTCCAAATGGATTAACATATATGATGAGCATACACTCAACGCATATCCTAAATTACCATGGTAACACACTAGTAAAGCTTGTTCAACTCAATG